AGAAAGAAAGTATAAATCAGTTTGAGGTTAAACGGGAAGGGGCTAACCTAGAAGAAAATGAAAGATGCATCTTCCTCTAAGATATGAAAAGAAGACAAAGAATGGATACATCGGTGCTTGTGCTTCCGAGATGAATAAGGAGGAGGAAGATACATGTGGAAGGAAACTACATCTGGCACAGTCCACCTGTCTCGGTAGTATAGGAATCATGATCACGGATTGAGAGCAGGAGACTTTGAGATGACAGCATCAGTGTTTGAGGCAGTAGAGGAAGACTGAACTGCCATTGCACTGTGTTCAGAAGTCAAGAGTAGACGAACAAGTACCCCCAGCTGTCCAGGGCCTGGAGCTTCGACAGTCTGAATTCACGGAAGCTCAACGCAGCCATATCTTGTGGCCAAAGGACAAAAGGAGAGAAAGCAAGCCTTCTCCCCAAGTGGGCATTGCTTGACATGGGCTGAGAGCTGACAGAAGAGCGTTAGCCAAAGTGGGATTACAATTTTCCATCCTGGTTTCCAGGCTGCGCAAGAGAGCCAAGCGATCGTTCACGACTAGCAGACTTAACCATATTAACCTGGGAATTGTCAATAAAGACAAATGTTGGTATTCTCGATATGGGAAAATAAGTAGACTATTCTAAGTGAAGAGGCTGTTGTTATAAATGAAGTTCACCAATTTTAGGATCTCAGAAGTCAAACAGTACCTGGGAAATCCAATGCCCAGGGGTGGCCCTATAAGTCAAGGGTTGGTATGCAAGTGAGTGGGAAATGTTGGTCTCATGCATGTCATAGTACTTAACCTCCTTGATCTAAGTGTAAGTCGGTGCCGGCCTGAGAGACCAGGAGGGGAAAGGTAGTCATTTACAAAGAAATATGTCCTCAATTAATGAGAATCCCAGCAAAGAATGACACCATAGCCCAGGAAAACATCAGCTTGGTGTAGAACATATTTTATCTACTTTTCTACAATAGACATTTTGGTTATTATACAACCTGCACAGGAATATTTGGGGCAATGATACGATACAGTTGTCCTTCATTCTACATGTTGTTTGTAGATTTTTTTCTATCAAAGTACAACCTCTATTATTTTGAACCCAAAGGCCAGAGACCTTGTTTGCGGTGTAAATTGCCTCTGGGTGAAAAATGTCTTAGACTTTTCTCAAAAAGATTATTAGTTATAATTTCCTTTCAAATATCCTGAGAACCATTCCATCGGAATCATTAATAAAGACACTCTGCGAGCACAAGTTATAGCTTCCTTTTGGTAAAGTGAGCATCCCCGTCCTGGAAGACAGCCGTGTTACAATAGCGTGCTCTGCCGATGTTGGCCTGCTCGCTATGTACCAGTACCACAGGTTCAAGTCAAAGTTGGCTAATGCACGGCATAAAGTGTAACATCATTCACAATTGATTATTGAGATACTTAAGGAAGGAATTAAAAAACCACCCTAGGCAATAAAAGTCACAAAATCACTTGCCCAAGATCCCAGGGAATGAGGCCTCTATTACTTTCCTTGCCCTCCTGTGACAAACCACCCCAAGCTAGGTGGCTTGAAACAACAGAGATGTGTTGTCTCACCGTCCTGGAGGCCAGACGTCTAGAATCAAGGCATCAAGAGTGTTCTTTCCTTCTTGGGCTTCCAAGGACAATTTCCTCTATACCTCAGTCCTAACCCAGGCTGCCGGCAAGCCTTGGCAATGTGTGTGGCCGTGAATACCTGGCACCCATGTTCATAGACTACAATCTTTGACTCTTCCTTAGAAGCTCCTTTAATGCTTCCATGATCTGGCTCTCACCTTCGAGACAGAGTCTTATGTAGTGTAGGATGGTAACACCAACCTCAACAAAGCTCCCAAACTGCCCATGGCTGGACCCTACACAGTCGCATGAATCTTAATGGAAGCTGTTCTGAGAGACAGTGAGTAAGATCCGTTTGTCCCCTCCCGCTCTCCTCACTGGGCAGACCTTGGGTGAGTCTCCACCCAAATCCTGTACACTTCCATCGAGGGTTCCAGGAAGACTTCCCTGCAGCTTTCTTCCGGCAATAACATTTTACTCTTCTGGCTCTTCTCCCCCTCACAGCTCCGAATGTCCTGGCTCATCCGTGGAGTCCTGAAGGGGAACATTTCCTTGGTGCTGGTGGAGAACAAAACAGGAAAGGAACAGAGCAGGCTGGTCTGGCATGGTGCCGCCAACGAAGGCTTGGATCTGTGGCAGTGCATCCTGCTGCCTCTCCTCGACGTGTCTGACAGGTAGGCCACTCCCTTCCGCCCCCTTTTCTCCACCAGCCAACGTGCAGCAAGAGCCTACCCCTGCCTCCTCCATCCTGGACACACAAACTCACACATCAGAACACAGGCACACCCATGCGCACATGTACACACACACACACACACACACACAACGTTGACAGGACACACAAAGAAGCTCTGAGAAGTTCAATGTTGATGAGCATTCACTGCCATCATGACTGGCCAGGTCTCACTGATTGTGTAAAATATATGGGGAAAGTGAACAAGGTCTATTATGTCTAACTGTTGTTGTTCGATGCTCTCAAGTGAGCGCCATCTCCCAGGAACGCTTTGTATAATAGACCCAAGCATTGCCCGGGCCTGTGCAATCCTCACGCCGGTCACTGGCTCGCTGCCTTTGAGTCCGTTGTTGTGGGCACTGTGTCAGTCCATCTTCTTAAAGGTCTTCCTCTTTTTGGCTTATCCTCTACTTGACCGGGTGATGTCCTTCTTCAGGGACCAGTCTCCTCTAGTTACATGTCAAAAGTATGTGAGACGAAGTCTTGCCAGCCTTGCTTCCAAGGAGCATGCTGGTCGGACTCCTCCAAACACAGATAGGTTTACTCCTCTGATGGTCTGAGGTTTGGCTCATTGCTTTGCCAAGGCCATAATTCCCTAATTCAAAGATATCGATTCTTCTGCATTCATTGTCTAGCCTTTGCGTGTACAAGAGATGACTGAAAATGGCATGGCTTGGGTCTGGTGCCTCCTCGTCCTCAGAGTGACAGCCTTGCTTCTTCGCACTTTAAAGGTCTTTTGCAGCAGATTTGGCCAGTGCCATCGGTCATTTGGTTTCTTGACTGATGTTTTCCTGGGCGTCGATTGTGGAGCCAAGTCTCACGAAATCCTTGAGACCTTGAGTCTTGTCTCCATTGATTGGGGAGATACGTGTTGGTCCACGTGGGTCTCTGTTTGTTTTCTTTCTGTTGCGGTGAAACGCATGTTGGAAGCTGTTTTCTTTGCTCTTTAGCAGGAGGGGCTTTCCTTCATCTTCACTTTCAGCAAGCAAGTTACGGTAGATACTCGTGTATAAGCCGAGTTTCTCTGCACATTTGAATGCAGTTTTGTGGTAAAATTAGGTGCCTCGGCTGATATTCGGGTTGGCTTTTACTCAAGTATATATGGTATGTCATCTCCTTCTTCCTGTGGCCCAGCTCCTCCAGCTCTTTGGTCAGCAGACAGATTGAATAAGTATAAGGAAAGGATGCAACCCTGGTGCACCCCGTTCCTGATCTTAAGCCCCTCAAAATGCCTCTGTCCACTCTTGGTATATATACACACACGTTTCACATGACCACAATTATGTATTCTGGAATTCCCATTCCTCACAATGTTCTCCATCATTGATTATGATCCACACAGTTGAATGACTTGCATGGTTAATAAGATGCTGGTAAACATCTTTCAGGTATTCTTTGCTTCTGGTCAAGAACCGTCTGACAATAGCAATGGTGTCCTTTGTCTCACACCCTCCTTTGATCACGGCTTGAAGTTCTGACAGTTAGTTCCCTGATAGTGTACTCTTGCAGCCATGTTTTCATGACCTTCAGCAAAAAAGATTTACTCGTGTGATAGTCATGTCCATATTCTTTGGGGTCACCATTCTTTGGGGTGAACATAAATATAGCTTGGCCAGGTGGCAATCTTCTGTCTTGGCATAGAGAAGTGAGTGCTTCCAGTATTGCACCCATTGGTTAAAATATTTCAATTGGTATTCTTTCTGCCTATTCTTTTGAGCTTTGTTTTTAGCTAACACCTTAAATGAAGCTTTGACTTCTTCCTTCATTATCATTGGTTCTTGATAATATGGTTGAATAGTTGATCGATGATTTTTGGTACTGTGACTGTGTATTCCTTCTATCTTCCTTTTGCCCATCTATCATTTTTGGTGTTTCCTGCATCATTCGTTATTTTGCCCGTGGAATCCTTCAATAGTTCAACTGAGACTTGACTTTTCCTTCGGTTCTTTCAACATGAGAAATGATGAGCATGTTCTTCCCTTTGACTGTGTAGTTCCTCTTCTCAGATGCCCTTTGAAACTTTCTCTTCAGCTCTTTAAAATGATCATTTCTCGATCGTTTAACAGCAAGGTTTAGAGTCTTGTGATAGCCATTTGGTCCTCCCTCCTCCCCTTCCCTCTTTTTAATTATCTTTCTTCTTTCTTTGTGCATGATATTCTAGATTCCATCCCATAAATTATCTGCTCCTGTCATCAGTGTTCAATGGCTCAAATTGATTCTTGAGACGTTCTCTAAATCAGGTGGGATGCACTTTTGTTCTTGAGAGCTTGATGTAATTTTCTTCAACTTGAACTCATCTATGAGCAACTGATAATAGAATTTGCAGTTGCCCCCTGGCTTTTCTCTTATGGAGGGTATGGAGCTTGTGTACCAGATGTAGTGGATATGACTCCTGTAGATCACATCTGGTGAAGTTCTCATGTATCATGGTGGTTTACATGGTTGGGAGGCTGGAGGTATACTCAATGGATAAATTGTTGGTCTGGCCAAATTCCATCAGGTGATCTCCATTGTTGCGTGTGCCACTCAGGCCATATGTTTCAGCTTTGGCTTTGTTTCCAACTTTAACCTTCCAATCACCAGTAATTATCCAATGCATCTCTGCTTGCATGATTGATCAATTTCAGACTGCGAAAGTTGATAAAAATCTTCCGCTCCCACTATCATCACGAATTCTACCTTGCAAGTCTGGCTAGACCAGAGGATTTACACTGGTACAGATAGGAACTGGAAATACTGGGAGTCCAGGGCAGATGATCCCTACAGGAACAGTGGTGTGAGTGGCGATACTGGGAGGGTAGAGGGAGAGTGGGTAGGAAAGAGGGAACCGATTACAAGGAAGTATATGTGACCTCCTCCCTGGGGGATGGACAACTAAAAAGTGGGTGAAGGGAGATGTCGGACAGGGCAAGATATGACAAAATAACAATTTATAAATTATCAAGGACTCATAAGGGAGGGAGGAGCGGGGAGGGAGGGGAAAATGAGGACCTAATGCCGGGGGCTTAAGTGGAGAGGAAATGTTTTGAGAAGGATGAGGGCAATGAATGTACAAATGCACTTTACACAATTGATGTATGTATGGATTGTGATAAGAGTTGTATGAGCCCCTAATAAAATGATTTATAAAAAAAAGAAGAAGAAGAAAAATCTTCAATGTCTTCACCGTAGCATTAGTGGTTGGTCCACAAATTTGAATGATAGTCCTACTAACCGCTTCTTTGTAGGTATATGGCTACGATCCTCTTGCTGACAAGGTTGTACTTCAGGGTAGATCTTGAATTGTTCTTTTTGGCAATGAAGGTAGCATCATTCCTCCTCAATTTGCCACTCGTAGCATAGGAGATCATAGGACTGTCTGCTTAAAAACAGCCCAAACTAGTCCACTCCAGCTCATTAGTGCCTAGGATTTTGATCTTTATGCATTCAGTTTCATTCGTGACAACTTCCCAGTTTTATAGTTATTCTTTGTACATTCCATGTTGCAGTTATTAATGAATGTTTGCAGTTCTTCTTTTTTAGAGTTATTCCAATCCCAAATCAGGCTTTATGTATCTACAGCTTTTTCTCCTACTTGACTTTGCCTTAATTTTTCCATCTGTCATTTCGTTTCATGGTTATTTTAAAACAAAAACCTGACAAAAATCTCCTCTGATCATTCTCCCATCCCTGGCCTTTTACAAGTAAAGAACCTTACATCCAAAGAGATGAAATGCCTCCGAGGCCCTGGCTCTAAGTCCAGGGCTCTGGGAAGTCAAGTCCCCCAATCAGGTTGACAACGATGGATACAAATCATTCAGCACGCGGAACAGCGCTTCCACCTCCCAGGTGGGACTTGGCTCCTCTCTGGATCTGCTCACCAGTGACCTCTGTGACCATGAAGACGTGCTTGGCTTTGTTGGTCCTCGGTCTCGTCCATTTTAAACGGAGAGGGTTAGACTAGGAAATGGTTCATTCTGTAGGACTCCGCACTGGAGCAGGGACCACTGAGTTCAGCTGCTCCTTGTCTCCCCCGGACGGCACTAGTCTGCCACCTGCAGTCTGCCTGGAGCCAGCAGTGCTTGAACGGAAGCTGGCCTGGGCGTGACAGCACTCCTGTGATGATGCTCATCTGTGTCATGCTGAGCTCTTGATGGTTTGTGCTGCTCTGCTTCAGATCAAAAGGAGCTGTCATTTCTGTCAAGGGGACATTAGATTGGGTCTGGAGGAGGAGAGTCCTCTTCCGTTGGCTAAATATCATATCCTATCAAGCAGAGCCGCCTCCACATGAGGTTCCGGAAACACTCAAATTGTGATCTTGATGGCTCCACCTTGGAAAACTGTGGGCCAAGGACTTGCAGCAAGATGGATGGTGGCATCAGTGGGCACCAGCCTCGTAAGTAGAGAGGTGGGTCTCAAAGTCTTCACTCAAACACCACAGAGGCTGCTGTTCCCCAGAGCTCATAACCCAAGCTGCACCTTCACAGGCCATGGTCCCGTCCTCCCTGGGAGCACCAGCTGCCGACTCCTTCAGAAGTTCGAGGTCGAAAGATCAAAGCTTGTGGACATTGTGGGGCTCAGGGCCCCCAGGACAAATGGACTTAATTAAAGTGGAGGAAGGGGAGTCTATGGTCCTTAGCACTTGTGGGGCTGTATACAGGGATAGAGAACAGGAGGGTGATGTACGAGCTCTCCTGCTGGGAGATGCTAAATGTATTCAGATGAATCAAAAAGGCTGTTTTGGTGTCTTTTCTTTCCGCCTCAATTCAGCAAGTCCTGTCTTTCAAAGCCACTCCAGGGGATGTCAAGCAAGTAAGATGGTGACTCGGTTCACTCCCCTCCGCTAGAGTTTCATTTGAAGGAGGCATTGTTCCTAGCCTCCCTCCTCCCTGTGAAAGGCTGTTTACCAGACTGACATTTCCAATATTGATACTGAAACCAAACTGTCCAGTGGGGCTTCAA